AAGTAATGAATCAAAAGCCAATAGTACAAGTAAGGGTAAAAACATTAAAATATGTATTACCTTCTGGTTCAGCACTTGGGAGGTCAACGCCCTGGGAAGAAGACAACTCTTCAACTAGCCGTGGTGAAGACTCTGGGACTATGAATTTCTCTTTAAGCAGAGTCCCTGCATCAAATGACTTGGATGAAGCAGCTTCAGCAGGAGATGACAGAGCAGGGGATATTAAGACTAGAGCCTTTGAGGGGGAAGTTGAACTCTTCTAGAAAATTCAAATAAAGCGTTAACCCATGAAAGATTGTGTTTCATGAATAAACAAACTCAATTACCTTTCTCTTGAGGATGAGAGGAGCATCGTCGTCGTCATCGTCTTGCAAAATTGGTGAAGTTAAGGCTGGCCATTTGCGGCTGGAAGCACTTTTAGTTGTACTAGCTTGAGCAGGTGGGGAACCAGATAGAATGATAGGACGTTTAGCACGAACAGGTGGCGAGTGAGGGGGAAAAATAGGATTCCTAATGGACACAGGGGTGGCCAGAATGGGAGAAGTAGAGGAAGTCTCTAGCCGATCCAGTAAGTGAAAGGCACGATTAGCATCAGTTGTGAATAGCATGCGTTTCACTGATGGCCAGAGTTGATCAAAGAGAGGATGAGTGACATCAGTGGGATTGAAAGGAGCCAAAGAAAGACCTTTGGTCAAAAGAATATTACGAGCATCAATGGCTTGTTCCTCGGTTTTATTTATAGTATGGAAATGCTCTGTTAAATTTCTAGAATAATAGGGAGGAACAGGCCATGTATGGCCAAAACAAAGCTGGCGAGCAAAAAATTGGGGAGCATATATCTCAACCCCTGCCTTGGCATTTGTTCCAGTTACTATGTCATGGAATAGTTCTCTTCCAATCAAGAATTGTGCCCAAATGGGCAAGAAAGTGTAGAAGGAGATTGCACAAATAGGGACTTGGTGAGGAGAAAAAGGAAAANTTCGTCCTAGTCACGATGTTATGGAAAAGTTCTCTCCCGATTAAGAATTGAGCCCAAATAGGCAAGAAAGTGCTCACTTCAGCCATAGTAGAAGGAGGTCGCACATAAACAGGGACTTGGTGAGGAGAAAAAGGAAAAAAGGAAGGCGTTGAATTCAAATTGTAAAAGAGTGTGAAAACGTTCATATTAGACATATTTACAGGGCTTAATTGATGGATGAATAGCCCATAAAAATTAACCGATTGAGGAGGGGATGGTGGAGTACCAAGCTGTGAAAAATATGATTTCAATCACAATTGAGTAAAGCCACAGGGGCCACTCCCAGTGGGAGATGCACCATTCTTTAATTGAAATTGAAAGGAAGTCATGCCTCTATAAAAGGTGGCTAAAAAGAACGAACATAGATTCAAAGATCTGCCACGCACCAACTCATGCGCTATGGGCAGATAACTCATAGAAGGTTTCAGGCTTGGGACACAAAGAACATATTTATAAAGCCAGACCTGAAGAAAGGCCACACGCTCAACGTGAGAAGGCTCAGAACTAGAAGCAGTATAAAGGCCTTACATGCCTGAATAGGACAGTGGGTTTTTTGTCAAACTTTGGGGCAGCGCCGGCAATCAAAATGCCAAAAAAATGGTATCGCCCAAAGGCGGAAGGTTTACTAGGGTTCCAACATCCCTCAAAATAATAGACATTGGGCCAGGGGAAAATAAAGGTATTGTACTCAGAAGACCAAAAACTCAGAGCAATAGGGAAAAGCACTGGGTCATAAATTGGGGGATGGAGAGTAATTTCTAATAATTTCGAAATTTTAGCACGATCAAAAATCGCTTTGGTGGAGCCATGATTCACCATCCGTGCATGCCATCTATGAAAAATAGCATCAGTTTTAGGCCAAGTGCGAATACATTTTTCGTGGATTGGCTTCAACGGTAGAGAGTTCAGAAAATGAGGGTTTTCAGTGCAAGGGAACAGCTGACCCACCTCCATCTGCCCAATAGACTCAGCATCATTAAACGACGGACTTAGGTAGAATTCATCACGGTCAGGGCGGGCTTGCGAAAGAAAGTTTGGATTTACATATGGTCTGGTAAGGAGGTTTTGGAAATCCTCAAAACTGGGAGAGTTATCAGAAGAAGTTTGTGAAGTCGCCATTTGCAACGAAATGTAGTAGTTGTGGAGAGTTCTTGAGAAACGTAGCAAAGAAGCAAGATGATGAACAGTAACCTTTATAAAGAAGCATGATGTAAAGACACGAATGAAGTGGAGCGACGAAGTGCTGTCTTTTGGGTTATAGGGGTGTAGAGTTACATTTTTTAGGTTATTAAGGATTACCGTCAAATGTAAATAATGATTAAAATTATCAACTCTTTTCCGAGAAAGCAAGCATTTCCAGAAAGAATATGGTGTAAGATTAATACTTGACATTAATTTTGCATTAATTTTGTCATATTGGGAGGTAATTGTTGACATACAAAAATAATGTCCAATTAAATGAGGCCCAATTATTAAGTAATGCCCAATTATGTGGTCCAAGAAATGGAGTCCAGTTAGGGAAATTGAGGAATAGGCCCAAAATAAAACCATTGTAAAATATAGTGACAGCCTGCGAGCAGAGGACTATCATCGCCCAAGCCTGCGAATGAAGTGCCATATTGTTGTTCAGAGCGACGATCTCACTCTCGCCCAAGCCTTCGAGACGCCCAAGGTCTGAGCCAATATAACCTTTTGTTCAGTTATTGAAGCGATTATTGAGCAACCTTATCACACCCCACGATCCAAGAATCTCGGTTACAAGCGGTTAAACAATAAGAGTAATAACAACGGTTGATAACGGTAGTTCCTTGACAAGTCAGTCATCACGAAGAAAGTGGGTAATTATAGAGCGTCAAGCAGTTCTACAAGAGAAAATCGGCAAATGAATATATAAAAAGGAAAAGAAGACATAGAAGGAAGGACCCCGAATCAAACACTCTCAACAGAGAATATATAATTTCAATTCATTTACTTTCTATTTGCAACCTTTCAATTTACTTCGTGTGTTTGTGACCCTTGGAGGCGTTTTGCTTCTTTCCAATTGTAATCTTCATAAATAAAGCACCCATTTTTGGTACTTTGTCTCAAGAGGTTTGTTNAGGAGTATAAAAAGGAAAAAAGACATAGAAGAAAAAAAATCGAATCATATACTCTCAACTGAGAATATGGTATTTCAATTCATTTACTTTCTATTTGCAAACTTTCAATTTACTTCGTGTGCATGTGCCCATTGGAGGCATTTTGCTTCTTTCCAATTGTAATCTTCATAAATAAAACACCTATTTTTGAGATTTTGTTTCAAGAGATTTGTTCCGCGCGAAACAGTATTACTATTTATGAATAATGCTATGTGTACACCATTGTGTACACATAGCACAACCCTACTATTTATATATAGGATCGGCGATAGCTTATGTAAATATAAGTTATTTTTTTTCTCTTTAATTGTACATATTCTTTGTTTATGGAGCTATTGATCATGGACGTTATCACTATCTCCAATTTTTTCCTTTCGCATTTTCTCTATATTGACTTCTTATGATGATCACCAAATGGATGGATAAGTCACACAACTGTGTTACATAAGAACTCGAAGAGAGGTATGTTCAAATACATACGTCCAAACTCAATATAATGTATGAATTCGCTAATAGAATATTTGGTTAAACCTAAAAAGTACTTATATCAGTGATAATTGTCCATGTTTTATTTCTAATGAAAGGTGAACACAGTTGTATGTCACGTATTTTGCTACTAACAACAAACTTGACTTATTAAAGTGCTACTTGCCATCTCGAGTGTTAAGCGATAAATCCCACAACGATTAAATACCAAAATATAGACTAAGATATAAAAGTTTGGACTACTCCTCTTATTAAGGTTGACCTTTTAAGATGGATCGACAAGTCTTAACATCGAGTGTTTTTTCTTCCTTTCTTCATGCTGTGCGATTCACTTCTCGAATGAATCATTTGAGAATATGAAAAGAGGTAGGTTTTTTTTGGCTGTTGGTGAATAGTAACCTCGGTCTTGAGGGAGTCTTGGTTCTGTTTTGTGATTTCTGGCAAAATGGTGGTAGTGAACTAGTAATAAAAGACATTGTGCTAGTGCTAGGAGCTTTTTTTTTTTTCCCTGGGTGGTTAGGGGGATGGAGACCCAATTTGGTTGAACCACGGTCAAACAAATCTCTTGTATTCTACATTCTTTATAATTTCTACACTTGCCCTTTTGCGTTTCTCAGTTCTTTTTCTTAAATCTGGGCCACGGTTTAACATCAAACCTCCTTTTATTTAGCAAAGCATCATTAAGATAAACTAAATTACCTCCAATAATCTCAATTGTTAATACTAGTGGAATTAGTAATGATTGTGTCTCCCAATGAAAAGAGAAAAATATGAAAAGAACATAGGAAAAAGATTAGAATTATGAAATTGTACTTGTAGCTTTCAATCTTAAAGATCTTTATTACTTCTAACGTCAATCCTCTTCTTTTTCATCTTCTTCTTATAACTTTAACTTTTCAATTTTAAAAATATTTTCATTTGTAAATACAGTTTTGCCATAACATTTATTTCTCAATCTTCTTTCGTATTATAAGAACTCGAGTCGCTATTCGGGCCGACCCGCTTCAAGAATTGTGTGACAATTGAAATGCAATAATTTGTAACTATAAAACTTTTTGAATCTAAAATCTTTTGTGCTATCATAAAGTGATAGGAATATTATGGGGGAAAAAGATCAAATTGTTGGACTACGATTTAACTAATGTAGTACCTTAGATACATGTCTAGTATGCTAATTGAAAACTACTGAAAAAAATTGAACTCTTTTTATATTTTTCCTGGTCGAACATCAGCTGAATGATTAATAACTTTTTGAATTTTCTATCATGATTGTAAATATAATTACAAGCCAAATCATTGCAAATTCACTTTAATAAAATTATACAGAAGACTGAAATTTTATTGATTGATTGTTTTCGTCACAACTTTTCTTCTTGGTGAAACTTGATTTGCTTAGCAATGAAATCTTCAATGGCTCTTTGAAACTCCTCGTTGCTCAGTTCATCAACCATGACAGTCTCAGCCGGAACCTCGCCAGGGTTCACAACTTTCCGGCACTTATCCGTCTCCGATGGCCTGAGTTTCTTTTCGCAATTACCCTCTCTACTTTCTTCTTTCGTGCAAGTCTCCGACTGACTCTTCCGATGAATATTTATTCTCACTTCGTAAATGCTTTGTTTATCTTGGTACATAATTTCCTCCGGTTCTGGTGCCTGAGAAACACATTCTTGAATGAATTGCGTACTGTCATCACTGTTTATGATAAACTCTTCGTAGAATTCCATGTGGGTTTCATTTCTTTTATGAGAATATTGTGGAAAGAGAAGGCCGGACTTGAAGAGAAGAGTTAAGACAATTATATTGCTGAAAAGGAAAATAAAGAGAGGACTGACGACGAAGGTTACAAGTTTCGAGAAGTACTGGCCGTAGATTTTGATGGCAAATAGCAAGCGAGTTGAGACCCACGAGAGGGAAGTGAGAATCAGATAGAGCTCTAATATACGAAAAAGCTTTCGAAGGTGATGGAATCGCGGCATTGTGTTCGACTTCATAGGGTTCAAATAATCAAACTCGAAAACGTTCATTGTCGATTTGTAGTATTCAAAGGTTAAGAAGGATTGGAAAAGTGAATTTGATAGAGCTGGGAAGATTTTTGAGAGTGAGATGAGGAGGATAGCTGTCAGCTCTTTGTGGATGTGGCTTTTGTTTTCTACTTTTTGAGGAGAAAGAGATTTAATTTTGGCTTCTATTTAATTGTGTGAATTGCTTGATTAAGACTACTTTCACACCCAAATGTGTACATTTTGGTTGACATTTCTCACGTGTAAAAGTATAATCATGGATTGAAAAGAGGTGATTTTAAAATCAATATAATCAAATTTGGCAACATACAGAAATATAAATTAAGGTATAAATCAAGATATACATATAGCATGGCTCGAATTGCTTCGAGAAATCGATTGGGTTGGGCTAACTTAGTAGAAAGGTCGAAATGACTTACATTTTTTATGGGTCACGTCAAGTCAATTCTTATGCAAACTTATCAAATTGATATACGTTGTGACTTGAAATTTAAACGAGCGTACAATTCACGTTTTCAATTAGCTACATTAAGGTTGGCTCATACAAAGAATGCGAGCTCAACACAGATCATGTAGGTAAGATATTTTCAAGTCAAGATAAAGGATAAGAATTTTAAACAAAGATAAAATCTATAGTTTCTTGTGAACTTGGACCATCTCCTCGCATACTTGTACTATTTCTACGTACAAAAAAATACGGTTCATATAGTCGATTGTTAGCAAATTAAAGTGAAGCAAGTTGTAAAAACTTTTAACCTTTAAAAAAAACTTTGAGGCAATTACTTGTGTAAACTATGCCCCTATTTGTTGCAGATGAAATTAGATTTTTAGTAGATTTTGAAAAAAAATTGTTGAATGTATAGTTGAAAAGTTGGAGGTCCACGAAATATGTGGTTAAAATTAATTTTGAATTTTGATTTGTATTAAATTTTAGATTTTAACTTTCACCCAACTGGCTATATATTCCCTTTTGTAATTTAAAAAATCCATATGTTGTGTTTCCTTTAATTTTTCATTTTATTTTCGTGTCAATTCAGTCAAATATTGAGATGGTCCAATATATTTTGTCAGGAGGGTTATTACATGAGCCTTTATGGGATCTTTTGCATTTATTTCTGCCCTTTTAGCTAGTTGAGGAAGCAATGAAACATCTGGGAAATGATGCATAGAACGGAACAGTGAACATTGATTTTGTTTGTCATATGCAATACCACGTGTTGAGAAGTAATGCAATTCAGCACGCACTAAGGATCCGTTTGATTGCAAGGGTGGAAAATGGATGGAAAGAAAATATTTTACTAGAAATTGATTTTCTTAAAAAATGTTTTACTAGAAATTGTAATTAATTGTGTTTAATTTTTCATGAAAAATATTGAAAATTTGGTATCCATTTGATTTCGTTTTTTCTGAA